TTTTATACGATCCCTGTGTCTGGTTTTTTATTTTGGTGGACTATTACATTAATTTATAACAAATATTTTTATTTGAAATATTTTATTATTTGTACGGGGTTTATTTTTTGTTGTAGGTACATGTATTTGGTATCATTTTAAAGGTAATTTCAGGAGGAACATTAAATGTATTGACGACTTTTCACCAATATTGACTGGAAAGTCAGAATTTCAATAAAAATAAAAAAACTACTGGATTTGGCCGCCATTTTGGAAAAATGGTGGTGTTCCACCAAAGATATTTTTGGAGACTTTTGATATGTTATTCACAATACTTTTCACTATCGAACAACAATGGTTTCATCTGTGTTCTAATTATTTCTAGGTCAAACCACATATCCAGGGGCCTCGAACTGGTGTTGTTGTAGTAGTTTTTTAATACATTCAGCATGCGCGTCGATAATCCCAAACTCGACAGTTTAAAAAACATTGATTTTCGATCGATTGTATCAAAAGCCGCACTAAAGTCAACAAAAAACGCATAAAGTTTCCCCCCTTTTTGTGATAGACGTAACTTAACCATACAAGCAAGATTAAAAATGTTATCAATGGTGGAGTAACCTTTCCTAAAACCCGCTTGGAATTCCGTTAATATTTCATTTTCTTGAACCCACGTTTGTATTCTATTGTTTATGAGACTTGTGAAAATTTTGGCCACGCTATCAATAAAAGATAATCCACGGTTTTCAACTAAATCGAGGTCTCCTTTTTTGTGTAGAGGGAAAATAATTGAGGTTTTGAAAGATTTTGGAACAATTTCATTTTTTTAAATTTTGTTGTAGATTATTAATAAAATAAACAAAAAATTTTCGGGTGCATTTTTGAAAAATTCATAAGGAATTCTATCTGACCCCGGGGCCCTATCACACTTTAATGTTTTCAAAATATTTTTCAGTTCAGCAAGAGTGAAGTCACTATCTAATCGGTATTATCTATAAGCGGTTCCGCATAGCTGATCGCACCTGCTCTGATTGGGGGATTCAATAAATTCCTAAAATGTGTTATCCATCTTTCAGGCGATATTTCTCCCACAACATTACTACCTTTCTTTTTTAATGTGTTTATGGACCGCCAAAAAGATTTACTGTCACATTTTATATTACTTAAATCAAATATAACTTTATCATAATAAGACCTTTTCTTTATAACACACAATGTCTTATAAATATTTAACTGTTTTATATAATCGAGTTTGACTATCTTTGAATTTGTTTTCCTATATAGGTTAAGAAGCACATACATACTAAACATTCTTTTTCTTTCAGCTAAGCATTTGTAGTCAAACCATGGCTGCTTATTTCCTACTTTATTTTTTCCTACGACATTGTTTTGTTTGTGTTCAGACGACCTTAAGATACACTCCATTAACTCATTCACATTGTCCTGGTTGTTATTTGAGATTTTAACTTGCACTAAGTTCAGCTTAATACGTTCATTGTAATTTAAACAATCATTGGTGGACCATTTTAATTTAGGTAATAAAGGTAATAGCTTCCCTTCATTCTGTCCCTCTGCACCTTGGCTCACAGCAATTAAACTAACTTCACAAGGGAGATGGTCAGACCCCGGGTATGGCACAACTTTAAAATCACTAACCATGGATAGACAGTTTACAGATACCAATGCATAATCAATAACTGAAGAACCCACTGACCCTATAAACGTGTACTCCCCGTCCTTATCACTTCTGGATCTCCCATTCAAAATAATAAATCCCATGTTGTTCATAACATCTAGAATCTTACGCCCTCTCACATTAACTGTCTTATCTTTTGATCTTCTACCATCTTCAAGGTTTGTTGTTATATGCCCTATCTCTCCACCTGAATATCCCTGTTCTTCCCCAGTTCTCCCGTTTAAATCCCCTAACAGAACCCAATTATCCATTTCATTATTACTAATTAAATTAACTAATTCCTCAAAATCTCGCTCCCAGTGGTTATAATTTAAATACAATGGCAGGAAACAAATTGAATTTTGTGCATTAATGAAACTCGCCTTTACAATATTATAATTATGGACCTTATCAACTTCTAAACAATCAATAAATTTTGACTTTTTATTGATAGCAATGATTTCCCCTCCACTATATCTCCCCACCCTTCCTTCTCTCACTGCTAACTTGAAAAACAAACTAAAATTTGACAATTTATCCGAAACTATATTAATATCAGCTTCTGAAATAAAAGTTTCTAACATAAAAACTAAATCATAACTTCTTAAAAATTCTAAAAAAATAATTATCATTGAGCTTGTTTTTAAGTCCACAAACATTATACACACAAGCCCTGAAAAGTCCCTGTGGAATACCTTTTCCCGTTGGATGATAGTCTTGACTCGGCTGGTCGTCCTGGGAAGGATTGGCGTCGCCCTCTCACGCCGCGTCTTGGAGTGAGGATGTCTTGGACCCATCTGTGTGATGCGGACCCGTGGCTGCTGCGCTTCCGGACGTCCCGTCTTCTACCACCTGCTTAGCTGCCTGTGCATAAGTCTGTGTTGGAGTAGGTGTCTGCGTTTGAGATGGTGCTTCCTTATCTTCTGTGTGTATTTCAGACTTCCGCTGTGCCAGTTTAGTGAGAAAGTCAGAGAAATCGTGACGAAACAGCTTTTGAAGGGCCATCCCTCCGTTTATTGGCCCGTTTCTCAAACACCCTTCTTCCCATGTGAATCGGTGTCCTTTCACATCGAGATGATCGTGGAATAAAGGCATCTTAAGCTTACCCGCCACTCTTTCAATTTCACTCCGCACTGCTACCAAATGGGATCGTCTGTCTCTAATTTCCCTCGGAAAATCCCGATGAATTATATATCCCGTTCCTCTTAACTTTGTAGTCTGGCCGAGAATGTAGGTTATATCCGTATCTTCTGGTATATGGGCAATGATTGACTTCCCGTCTCTACCCAGGGGATGGGCTCTATTAACCCACACTTTGTCTATTCCTAACACATCCTTGCAGAAGTTTCTTACCACCTCCCTAAAGTCAGCATTTTTCCCATACCACGTCAAACCCTTAAAAATGAGGTTGTTTCTTCTTGATCGGGACTCAAGGTCAATTAACCTTTCACAGTTGCTTTTCTCCTGCTTCCTTAGGCTAACAACTTCTTCCCTTAAGATCTCTTTTTCGGTGACTAATTCCTGTATTTTTACGTTAATGTTACATACATCATCCTTTGTGGCTAACCTTTGAAGCTTCTCATCCAACTTACTTTCTAACAGTTTGCTCATACCTTCCATTAGTTGTGCTAGGCTCATCTCCCCTACTTTTTCATCACCCATTGCTGAGTTAGGTAGTTAGGTAGGTAAGTTAAGTATAGGTTGTCAGTTTTACCAAATTGATGGGGAATGTCAGTTTTTGTTTATGGCTGTTTTTCCAATCATTTGACAAGATCGCAATAGACAATGATGATATGTTTGCAATCACAGGAAATGCTCTTAAATTTGCCACGATTGCGAGGTACGATGATGGGATATTCAAGATATTGCTGCCATTACGGGAGACAATGATGATATCTTCACAATCACATATTAGGCTGCGTTCATGTTGGAGCTGTGATTAGCGATCGTAGCAACGATGAGATCAGCGAGCTGCTAGTTGAGAGTAGCGCTCTGCTGTTATCGAAAGTTCATGTCCGTGACTTGTGCTTAAAGATTGATTTGTGGGTTCCCGTTTTGTTGAAAACGAGTTTGTGATAACTGATTAAGAGGAAGAGGATTAATTTTACAATCACATGCAGTTAAGAATTATTTACGATGATGTAAAAGCATGAATAATATGCACATCCTATCAATATTTGTGTGCAATTCTGAAGTAACTTCACTCCACAACTTGTCTACCACAAATCTATATAAGTGATATTTATCACCCTTGTCGTCCCATAATGCTAATTTCATAAAAACTAATGGTATTAAATTGTCAAAATCCATTTTCGGAGTCTCAATATTAGCTGAGAAAAAGGACTGTGCTATTATCTATAACAGTGCAGATCCAATGTAACAGGCCTATTAAAAAATTACATTGGTATTATCTTCGCATTAGGATCGCAACTGGTATCACTAATCGCAGATCCGACATGAACACGCCCTTAGGCAAATTAGTGAGGATATATGAAGTAGTCAAGGCAATCAGTCCGTAGAGTGGGAACCCTTAATGACAGTTAGATTAATATAACTTCAATTCTAAAATGCTATGGGAAGGGAGCAATCACACATACAGGTCCACGACTTAGGGAGTGATAAAGGAAGTAGTCAAGGCGAGAAGTGCGGAGTGTTGGAACCCTTTGTGACAGTTAGATTAATGTATCTGCGATACTATACGATACTTTTAAGAAGACTCCTTTACACCATATTGCGGCAATTAGGTAAAGTTAGATTAGTTCACTTTGGCTTAGTTTTGTTTATGATTAGCCTCATAACAAATAAAGAAATAGGCTTCATTTAATCAAAGAAGTTTTGTAGAGGAACGATGAATTTACCTCCTATCGATAAATGTTGGAAATGCATTACGAATATTACCAATAACTTTGAATAATTAATGGATGAGAAGTTAGGATTGTTGTTAACTGAGATTTGGTTAATTTGCACATTCAAATAACATATTGTATTCATCAGTAACCCCGGTAAGTTAGTGCGGGTGGACTCTTTCATTGTTGCGCTCACGTTCACTCATCCCGTTACGTGTAGAATAAGCGTACTACTAGTTTTATTTGCCTTCTGTTGTAGGTTCACTTAGACATGTTCATTACGTTGATCAATTTGGTAAAAGCACCGACACTGCTCTTTGTAGTTGTGTAATTCTGGTATGAATAGTTTTGAAAACCAATCATGTATATGCCTTTAAATTTATTTAAATAAGATTAACCAACAAGAGCAGAAACAATTGGTTTTTACAGCAGACTCCATTTCAAATATAAAAATAAAAATGGTACTTGGATTCGCCATTTGTGGGTGGTTATGGTTGCAGAGTGGCAGATGATTGGCAGGTAGACAAGGCCTCAGTTGTATGTCCGGCCGCTGCACAGCTGGCTCGCACTGGTCGCACTTCAGACATCCTCAAGTTAGTGGCACTGCTGGAGGGTGAGACATCACTGTGTAATCAACTGTTGATAGCTGCTCTCAAAGAAGATCTCTCTAAACCAGACACAGACTCTGTGATCAAACTTATCACTGATGTTCCATCTAAAGTAAGTGTTTCTTTTTGATAGGGATGGGTCAATTTTTTATGTCGGTTGTTGGTTTCAACAGTTTATTGCACAAGAACTGAAACCAAGAATTAACAGAAAATGTCAGTTTCGGTTTATCAGTTGTTGCGCAATAATTTTTCCGCGACAGAGCTTAATTTCAGCCGGAGCACACCGGAGTGGAGCTCCGGCTATCTGGATCAATAATATAATAATCTCTTTTAAACAAGAATCTGAATTAATTGTAAATCGTTTGGTTTTATTTTTAAATTTAGACTGACTACTTGTTTGACTTTAGAGTGATGGTTTTCCAGTTTTTGTCAAAATCATTTCAAAGACCGATTCTTTGGCAGTGGTCAAGTGTAAAGCTACGTTTCCATTCCATTCCAGCAGGTACAAGTCGCGGCACATGTCGAACGTAGTATGTCATGCCGTTTCCATTCCAGGCACAAGTCCCGCTACTACAACTGGCAGACAAGGTAGTTGCTCTCAGTGGCGTAACAGAAGGGCCCGCAATGCGGAGGGGCCCGGGAGCTTAGGGGGCCTGCGAATCGATGAGTGGGAAACGGTGAGTGGAGAGGCCCGTGAGACGAGTGGGGCCGAAAAATTGGAGTTGATTCTTATTTAAATTATCAAACATTCAATAATTACAAGTAATAACATTGATGTTATTAATAATATGTTGTTATCAACTATCGTTTAATTTTGTTAGGCCTCTTCAGTAATAACGAACTAAGGTAACAAATTTAACGTGTTATAACGTGGGTCTTTGATTATTATGCAATCCTACTATCCTCATCGAGAAATATTTTACTTCTCCTTCTTGGTGATTTCGTACACTGATTATATCGTCTGCAAATGCAAACATTTTTAAACATTAGTTACTTTGGAGCTTGGAGTCATGAACGTTGGCTGGGGCTTTTATTATTCTATTATTTTACATTTTAGTTTTACCCTAATATTTATTGTATTTCGTTACATACAATATACTGCTACTCTACTGACTGTGTTTGTTAGCCCCATCTTATTTTACCTCACAATTAACCAATGCTAAAGACATTTGTTGTAAGGTAAACGCTTGAAATCCATACATAAAATAAAAAATGTAATAGGCTATTTTATCTATATATATAAAATCCAATGTATGTTTGTTTGTATGTATGTATGTTTGTTTGTTTGTCCTTTATGGACTCCGAAACCGCTCGACAGATTGTAATGAAACTTTCAGGCATTGTTAAGCATTAAGTTATTCAAGGATGGTTTGTGTGAAGTTTGGTGCAGATTCGTCAAAAAGGTGGCTCTGGAGTTTCCCGTGTTGACCTTATGAGTACTCATATTTAAATGGAATTAAAGAATCTTAACAGCTGGTTCAACTAAACAATTTGATTCTGTGACATCAGCTAATTTGCAACCAAAAGGTGAGTGAGCGTAGCGAACGAACTTCAACCTGGAGGTGAGTTAGCGTAGCGAACAAGCTAGCCTGAAGGCAAGTGAGCGCAGCGAATGAGCTCCAACCTAAAGGTGAGTGAGCGTAGCGAACGAACTTCAACCAGGACATGATTGAGCCATGCGAACGAGCTCATCTTGAAAATGAACGAGCATTTGATATAAAACTACATTAGGACAGGACGACGTCTGTCGGGCCAGCTAGTACTATGATAAAAGTACGCCAATCTATTAAAACTAGCTTTTAGTGTATGAGTAATTATAACCAAAGATTCAACTAACCTAGTATATTAATACTTCAAAAATTTACTTTGAAATGGCGACCATACCAATGTTGGTGCCAAGTATGAATGGAGATGGTGTAGGATGAGTGGCACAACCTTGTAGTCTTGAACGGGACTAAGGCCGACATATTCCTTAGACACAGCTGTTAATTATTAGCCAATATAGCCAATGGCAACCAAGAGGCCTACAGTTTAGGTCCTATAGAATAGAATAGAATAGAATCTTTTATTGTCGTTAAACATAATACATGTAATAGACAGTGTCACATTTAAAATAGCCTAAATTAAGTCACATTCAACATGATTGTCAATATTAACTTACTACCTACTTGAAACAAAGAATTGAGTCGTGCAGTGACATATTTAAAAACTCATCAACATGGTAGAATGGATTTTCTACAAGCCAGTCAAAAACAGTTTTACTAAAAATTTCTTGTTTTGCTGTTTGTCCTTTAGGAGGTAGTTTGTTAAACAGCCTAACACTCATGACTTTAAAAGATTTTGAGGTTTTACTAAGCCTAAATCTATCAATAAATATTTTGTGACTTGTCCTGGTAAAGTGGTCATGGACCTGATTTGACAGCGTAAGATTTTTAAAATTACGTTTCACATAGACTAGACAAATAAAAATGTACATATTTACAACAGTGGGGATTTTAAGTTGTTTAAACAGTGGTCTACAGTGCTCTGGAGAAACTGCGTTTGCCAAGATATAGGGGAATTCGAACCAAATTTTTGCCTTGTAATTAACGAATTACAAGATGAAGTAATTGCCTTGTAATTAACAAATTACAATTATGAAGAGTAGATCGACAACTGACCAAATATTTATCTTAAAAGAAATAGTGGCCAGTTATTGGGAGTTCAATAAAGAATTTTATGCCTTATTTATTGACTTTCAGAAGGCTTACGACAGCATAAGAAGGGACAAATTGTTGGCACAGCTAAGAAAATTCGGCATATCAAATAAAATTATAGCCTTAATTAAAATGAGTATTTCAGGATCTAAATGTTCAGTTAGAATTGATGGCCACAACTGCAACCCCTTTGAAGTAAACTCTGGTGTCAGACAAGGAGATGGGCTATCACCGATCCTATTTAATTTTGCCATTGAAGAAGCTCTACAGAAGGTAGCAGAGAAGAACATAGGAGTGAAAATAGGAACCAAAATAAACATCTTAGCCTTTGCAGATGATGTGGTTATAATCACAGAAAAACTAGAAGATCTGAAGGCCTTAACCGAAGTATTTATGAAAGAAACAGAAAAAGTAGGCCTAAAAACAAACTACCTATTCAAAAACTAAGTACATGCACTTTTCAAGAAACCTGGATAATACTGAAGAACCAATAGAAATTGATGGCCATACATTTGAAAAAGTCAACAGTTGTGAATAACTAGGAGTAATTATATCTAACCAAAATACTGATGAACTAGAAATCCAAAGCCGAAGAAATTCAGCAAATAAATGTTTTCATGCTTGCAATAAATTACTTTCATCTAAATCTTTGTCCTGCAAAACAAAAATCAGGCTGTACAAAACAATAATTTGCCCAGTTCTCCTATATGGATCAGAAACCTGGAAATTAAATAATACCCCCGCCGCAGCAAACCTGCCGACTAAGCGAATTTCCATTTGTCTGAATCGATTTTCAGTTAAATATATTTTAATAACATTAGGTTTAACGAGTGAGTACCTAGGTTTGCTGCTACAAGGAAACTAATAAAGTGTGTTTTTGAGTAAAATATTGATAGCTTAGTACAAAATAAATAAATTTGCCAAGTTTGATCAAAATATATCCATAAACAAGCAAACTACAACATTTGACAATATTCTCCATATAAGAATAACATGGGAATTTTAAATTTACAATTTTTTTAATTTTCTCCGTTACTAATAATCGAACAAAAATTCTTTTATATACTAAATTATTTGTTTTTTTAAGCTCTTTAAAAAGGTCTAAAGAGAAATCGGGAAATTTTGTGTTTTGAGGGTCAAAAGTGAGAAAAACCAATTTTTACCCCATAAAACCCCCCGTAAAGCCCCGTTCCCATGGTCCGATCGTGCTAGTTCGCGAACTCATTCAAGTTTATCCCGCTTTACACCTTTAAACCAAATTTCATCAAAATCGGGCAAAAATTACTCAAGTTATCGCGTTCACGGACGTATATATATATATATAAGTCTATATATATATATACATATATAAAAATTTTAACGAATGGTGTTTTTGGCCTCTGGGTACATCAAAATGAAAAAGTAAATCGGTCCCGGGTCTAGGTCTTACCATGCCACCTACGGTAATAGCTACTTCCCTATAGGGAAATTCGCTAAAAGAGATGAAAAGAAACTAATAGTATTCTAAAATAAAATTTTTTGGAAGATTTTTGGACCAATATTTGAGCAAGGAGAATGGAGAATAAGACACAATAGGGAATCAAGGCAACTGTATAATAGCACAGATGTAATTGGAGAAATCAAGTGCCGAAGAATCAGATGGGTTTGTCATATATTAAGAAGAGGCGAAGATTGTAGACTGGGAAGAGTTTTAAAGGGCTACAGCCCTTAAAACTGGGTGGGGTTTGTTTACTACAGGAAGGCGACCCCGGGGAAGACCTAAGTAGAGGTGGTGGAAGCAAGTGCAAGAAGATTTGGAGAGAATTGGGGCAACGGAAGATCATGTGAAAGACCGGTTAACATGGCGAAGATTTGTTGGTGGGGCCAAATATCACCTCCGATATAAATGGCCCTGGGAGTAAGTAAATAAGTAATTAACGAATTAGTCTAATTATCTGGATAATAAAAATGGATAACATTTGTGATAAATTAAATGTAAAAGCTCCTTAATAAAAACATTCTGATACGATGGAAAATAAGGAATTATTATTTGATTTCAAAACTATTTACAAACACTCATATTGATATAATGATCGGCGGGCACAAATTTGTGCCGGGCACTTGTGCCGCGACTTGTGCCAGACTGTTTCCATTCCTACAAATTCGGATATTTGTGCCAGGCACACGGCGGGCACATGTGTCTGGCACAAATTTGTAGGAATGGAAACGTAGCTTTACTGTACTACAGTGTTCTAACCCAGTCTGCTGACTGCCACTGACTATTGCGTGCTGTGTGATTGGATTGGTATGGAGTGGCTGTGGCACGAACATGGCCTACAGCGCTATGCTTGAGCCAAGAGCGTCAACTATCATACTAAATAAAAGTGCTTGTTTTGTCGTCTGGTCAGGTTTTAGATGAACAATGAAGTTAGATTATTCTGTATATTGAATTTAAACAAAACAGAAGTGGGATCCTGACCTTTTATCCACTCCTTAAACAGTATGCAGGAAAAAAATATCCTTTATTATTTTAGTAAGTTGTTAAATTTACTTCTCTACATTTTTAAGAGGTCATTTTTTATAAGTATATCAACAAAATACTACTACTTTTTATTGAAATAAACTAACTTCCTGGAGTATGTTTAGAATCATCGATATATATTATAATTTCTAAAGTGCTTTTTTTCTGTACACCATTACTTTCTTAATTCTTCACGAATTTTTATAAATGAGGTGTCTGTGCAACTCAAATGTCAGGATGTTATACAGCTATGTCGTAAACTACTCAACCTACCTGATTACTGATGTAACTGTCGTGTTGTAGATAACAGCTCTGATAGAGTGTGGGCTGCTGAAGAGCGCAAATATACTGGCAATACGATATGGCAGACTGGATGATGTAAAGAGGATCTTGGCGGTGGCTGAGCAACAGAACCGTCAGGACGTCATACAGTTATGTCGTAAACAGCTCAACCTACCTGAGGACCAAATGCATATGTGATAGTTCAACTATACAGAGTGTTTTGAAACTCTCTCCCAAAACTCCTTGGTCATGTTCCTTAGGTCAAAACAAACAAAAAATATCATAAAACATATGCCATATCTTGCTTTGTTTTCCTTCTGTCGGTGTGTAGCCTATGTATTTTTTACGTAATTTCCCATAAATTTGGAACCACATTAGAATCCAACTTCAAACTTGGTACGTGCATGATGACTAAAATGAACTATTCTTTTTTAGCAAAGCATCAAGTTTCTGCTTTGTATAATTTATAGTGATCATTTTAATTTTTCAAAGCTTAATAACTCAAAAACTAAAAAACCATGGTTTATAAAAAAAAGTTACAAAAGACAAAAAGGATGGGAATTTAATTCGCATTACACAGATGTATATTTTTATAGGGTCATAACACAAATGACAAAAAAAAGAAAGTTTTCTGAAGTTAAAACTAAAAAATGTAGGCAAATTCAATAAATTACCAGGTACTATACCTTTATACAAATAATATTTTCTCTGTTATTTGTGTTATGATCCTATAAAAATTGTACATTTCTGTAACGTGAATTAAATTTCCATCCTTTTTGTCATTTGTAACTTTTTTATAAGTCCTATGGTTTTTGAGTTTTGAAAAATTAAAATGGCTGCTATTTTGAAATTATACAAAGTAGAAACTTGATAGTTCCCTTTAGTCATCTTACACGCACCAATTTTGAAGTTGACACCTCAAGTGTTTCCAAAGTTATGGGAAGTCATGTAAAAAAAAAATACATACACACTGACAGACGGAAGACGAAGCGAGATAGGGCATATGTTAATGTGATATATGTATATTATTTTTGACCTAAGGAACACGCCCATTGAGTTTTTCGAAACACCCTGTATATGTCTTTACAAATTCAGCTATTTCAGATAGACCCCTTTGTCTTTCAGATAAACCCCTACAAAGGTCTATGTTTTCAGATAACTATCCAAACTTTCATTACTTAGGCAAAGCCATTTTTTTTTACTTTGGTTATCCCATCAGCGTAGTTATTTAAGTGCTTGTTGAAACCATTTTTTCCAAGTAAAATAGTTTTCCAAAATTTAAATAAAGTTAATCCTAATATTAAAAAAAATTAGCATTGGATCAGTATTTTAAAAACTTTGGCTTGTACTTTCAAAAGTCCACCCTTTTTTTTAATCTAGATTCCCTTCAGTAGGCCTAATAAAAGTGTATTAGGTCTGCATATTGCTAAGCTGCATCACAATGGTGCTTTTTATTCACAGTGGTTAAGTATTGACTAAGCTTACAAGAATTAAACATAGACAGCATTTAACATAATATTGCCCCCTGACAACTTGTGCTTACCACTACAGTATAAGTACTGTATCTAACTCTTTTCCAACAAGAAAAGATACCTTGTGCAAAAATCTCATTCTTTTTCAAATTCCCCAAACAGTTTTCAACTCTTATTTATGGAAAGGTTGATTTCCTGGCTTTTTGTAGTGTTATGTATATGTTGGGTTATGTTGATTTTTTGATTTATTTTATTCTATACCGGTACTGTACTGTAGTGACCATCTGTCACTGTGTTAAAGAATACCAGTACACACTCTGCCTCTCTGATCAAATGTGAACCCTTTATAGCTTGATTAATCCTTAACTTAGTTAAAAAAACCACAGTCTAGATCAGTAATTGCAAAAAATATTTGTTTAAGATCATTTACTAGTTATTTTCTGATCTTCTAGGCCTAGTGTCTCCTCCCTTCCCCACTGTTGACTTCCATCTGTGCCCTTCTCACAACTCTGGGCAGATTCCTTTTCTTGTAGAATTATTTTGCGGATTTCAATTAGAGTATAGGAAATATTATACCTGATGATTTTACTCACTGACAGAAAAAGATAAGGTTTATTGTTAGTTTATTAGTTCCGCTTAAAAATCCATGTTGAAGAAGGATGAGTGTCTCTGGATGCTGAGTTCCTCTTGAATGAGGCCGGGTAATCAGTCCAGGACTTAATTCAAGTGAAAAGAAATATTTATAATTTAAAAACATAGAGCTTATGCTGGTGTTTAAAAATCTGTTATGCTCCCTTTTGGTAAAAATGACTTTAAAAAAGTTAAACGTAAACCATATATTTTATTTTTATATTTTGTTGTGCAATTTGTAATAAAAATGTATTTGTATTTTTATTTTCAGGTAGACATATAAATCTTTATAATGTTTTTGCAGATATAATCAGGCCCTTATTCTAAAATCATTCCAAGGGTCATTAAAGTAATATTCAATTTATGTCGTAGTTTTACCAAATAAAATAATGATATTTATCTACTATATGTACATTCAATATTGGGATTACATTTTTTATATAGTTTATTGACATTGTTTATGTATTAGCAAATTGTATTAACTATATTTGATAGTAAATTGTTAATAATACGCAAGGACTTTTAATCTTTTTATCCAGTAATTCATCTTAGGTTACCTTTATGTCTGTAGCTTAGCGCTTAGTGTTGATTATTAATTTGCTCCCTTTCAAGTATATTAACAAAAAAGTAATTCAGAAATTTATATTTTTTCAAAATAATTATAGTTTTTATTAACACCTAAACTGTGTGATAGTAACATGAATACTGAAAATGTCACTATAAGAATTTGTTTACCAAATTATTTTATATATTTATTTGGTTAATAGGAGTAACTATGAGTTAACGGCCAATGGATTCTTTTGTTTATTTTTTGTAAATAAACATTACATGACAGTATAATATGCTGAAGTCAATAATGTTCTGCTTAGGCCTTTTCAGTGTTGGGAAGTAGCGCGCTACAAGTAGCGACGCTACTTTGTTTCTGGCGTTAGCTGAAGCTAAGCTACTTTTAAGATTTTGTAGCTTTAGCTAGCTACATTTTTTTAAGTAGTTGTAGTGGAATTGTATCTACTTTTCTTGCTACATTAACATTGATTGAGATAGTGATTTTTATCACAACCTTAAGTGAAACAACCTCTTTCGAACTGAAATTTCCAAGAAAGTTTGGCCTAACTACCTTCTTAGCTTCATACAGCTGGTCTTAGCCGGTGCATTACCTATTACAACGTTGTGTGGACATGGAGGCTATTAAATGAGTGTTATCCACATTTTTGGCTCTCATTTCCTTCATTTGCTAATCTATGATTACTGTCGGATAAAATAAAATCGCTAGATGCAGACGACGTTCAAACGTTACAGGTGACAAGAGAAGATATTGAATGCTTGCAAGTGATTGGCAGGGATATTAGTAATCAATTTAGTTTCTTTATTTTATCGATAGTTTTAACTTGGGTTTTAATGGAAACCAACACTAAACCTTAAAATAATTAGAAAGTTGGTCTATCATCCTTTGCTTCAGCTGTTGATTGTGGTTCATCATCACAAGCCCTTCCTTGGTTGGATTAACTTACGATGATTTTTTAAAGGTTTACTTAATTAACGAAGAAGAAATTACCTGATGAAATTTAAGATATGCCTGAACAACATAATAATTGTAACGAGAAAATCTCCATACACCACAAAACTTACATTGAAGAAATATGGGTTGTGTTGCTAGCCTAGTGGTTAGCGTCTCGGACTTCGGTGCGGGAGGGACGGGTTCAATCCCCGGCACATCCACTAAACATTTATTCTCTCGTGACTCTCTTGTGAAATGCCATTGGCGTAGAAAAAAAATGAAAAAAATAGCTCATTTGCTCCTGCTTACAGCTCTTGTCAAGGACTATTCCTATGCAATGCTATTGGATTAAGACGAATACCAAGTTCAATTTTAATAGGAATATAGGCGGACTATTCCTATGCAATGCTATTGGATTAAGACGAATACCAAGTTTAATTTTAATAGGAATATAGGCCTATCTGTTTAGTGTTTGTAAGAACAAGTCTACTATTATAGCCAACTTGTTACATAGCCAAGTAGGCCTACATGTTATTTTTACTTTAAAATTTTCAACATGTTTAAATTAAAAAGCCGATTTCAGGATAAGTTGCTGAATACTGTTTTGTGCACCAACGTTTGTTGAAGCACAATTTGCCCTATGCATAATGACAAAAGACGATTTCTTGACATTGAACAGTGTTATTCATAGAACAAGTAACTTATCACTATGATTAAAAGTTATATAGCAATGTCATTTTTAACATTAAAAATTAAGAAAGGCAATAAACTCTAATTTCAGTAGGCTAGGCTCTTTAAGACAAAAGAGTATCTTTAAATAATCGTTTTACAGTTTTTAATATTTGATATAAGACATCTATAAATAAATGTACATTAAAGAAATAAAACAAGCTTTTAACATATTATAGTTTTTTTATTTATTTTTTACAGAGGGCCAGGCTTAAAAGTGACCATGGTATTGCATCGCAGCTAGAACAGCTTATTGTGCACCCTCGTTCACATCAGGTTCTCAATATCCGGCAAATCCCAGGTCCTTAGTAAACCGTGAGAACCTTTTGACTATGGTAATTAACCTGTTCTTCCCTTTGATCTCCCGTCAATAGGCCAAGAGATCTCATACGCAGACCTTGTAGGGCTGGGCTCATAAATATAACAAAACGCTGATACCTTCACAGCTTTCACAAGGTCTCTGGCTGGGGCAGGCTGTAGCGAGATTTCCCTGAAGGGACTCAGCTCCTGAACTTGCTTGACCAGCCAATCCTTTGTGGCTGCGTTAGCACAGCTAACCAAGGCTCCCCCTTCAAGATGGCAGCTGCTTATCCTGACGTCTTTGCCACGAATGGCCCACCTGGACAGCTCCCCCTTGATTTTATTGGCTTCAGCCTCCGTCCGTTTCCAGTCCAGGTGTTCAGATTTGGCAATTGCCATCTTCTCCACAGACAGTGTCTCCGGATAGGTGGGTGTCGGTGCTCTCTGTTAAACACCCGAGCCCTCTCCCTCTTTCGCCCTCGTCTTCTTTTTTCGCCCCCTCTTTCCATCTTTTTTCCTGGAGGCTTCATTAGAGTCAGCTTTGAGGGTGCCGCCCTCGCCCTGCTTTTTTTTTCTTCTCCTTCTTTTTGCTTGTATCTACGCCAGTGGCATTTTTGTAATGAAATATGGAGTCAACACTTTTAAGGGAAAGCGGTCCAAAACCCATAAAAGTTTTGTGGATGTGCCGGGGATTGAACCCGTCCCTCCCGCACCGAAGTCCGAGACACTAGGCTAGCAACACACCCAAACATTTTTTTCCCAGCATCCTGGTTCCCGGAGGAACTGGCTTTGCAGGGAGCAGAGTTAATGGTGCTTGGCAGCCCACGCCAGCCTCCTCTCATTTCTGGACAGCACCTTTTTGCCTTTGGCTAAGGCATCCACTATCCTCCGTCTTAGCAACTCGCCCCTGGAAAGTAGTTTTTTTCTTCCTTTCTGGTTTCCGCAAGCTTGTTGTCATCGTCAGATTTAAGCAGACATTCCTCCACCATTTGGGTCAGATGGTCTACGTTGTTCCCACGAATACCGGGTATCTAAGGTCCACATCCCCAGTGACCCGATAAGAGAGGTAAGGGGTACATTCGGCTGGGTTCCCCCTGGCTGACACTGAATATTAGGCCCCCAGTGCCACAAGACTCTCGGCATTACACCTTAGTCTAGGGCCCCCTCACTTGGCTCTGTAGGTGGACCAACACCCAGTGGCAGAAGGTAGCTCTCCGCAGCTAACAAGTGAGAGTTGGAGTTTAGGTGTGGCCAATCTGCCGAACCAACCCCGCATGCGAGGTTTGGCTGGAACGGCGCGAAAGGTTCTCCCACTCACTACCCAAGTAGCAAAAATCGTTGGGAAATCGTTGGCCCAACGTTTCTGTCGATCGTTGGCCAACGGTATATTTTTTCACTAAGTCTTACGGTTGGCCAACCAACCAATTTTTGCGGAAGGGCCAACCATCCTATTGGGCCTAAACACAAAATAATAAAGAATTAGTATGAAAAACATAATTATGAGTAGAGTAAATTGATTAAATCTATAAGTATAAAAGAGGATGTTTGTATGTATATATATTTGGCAGTGATAAACTCAGTTTAAATATCTAGGGGTAATTATATCAAGCAGCAATAGTGAAGAAATGGAAATAAATTATAGGATTGCTCAGGCCAATAAATGTATGTATTCTTGTAAGAAATTGTTGACTTCAAAGATTCTCTCACATAAAACGAAAATAAAAATATATCATAGTATAATTCGACCAGTATTAACATATGGAGCTGAAACTTGGATTTTAAATAAAAAAGAAGAAAACAAAATGATTGTTTTTGAAAACAAAATTTTAAGAATGGTATATGGACCAATACAAGAAAATGGGGAATGGAGAAAAAGGCATAATAGGGAGATAAGGAATATGTACAATGATTATGATGTAGTAGCACACGTGAAAGCAAGGAGAATAAGGTGGGCAGGACACGCACTACGGAGAGAACGAGGTTCACTACTAAAAGAAGCAAGTATAGGAAAGCCAGAAGGGAAACGACCATTAGGAAGGCCCAAGAAGAGATGGTGGGATAGTGTTTCCAGGGACGTCAGAGAAGTGGGGGCAGAAGTGGAAGAGGCAGAAGATCGAGAGAGATGGAAAGCAGTTGTTGGTGCGGCCAAATCCCGCCTTGGGCATAAATGGCCATGGGAGTGAGTGAGTGAGTGATAAACTCAGACACCGCTGAACCGATTGCCACGAAACTTGGTACATACGTGTAGAATTTCATGGAATAGGTTTATACACCATCAATTTCGTGATCCGTCCAATCGGCTCCGCCCCAGTGGCTCTGGAGTTTCCCATGTTAACCTTATGAGAAATGGAATTAATGAATCTTAACAGCTGTTTCAATTAAACAAGTTGGTTCTTTTCTATGATGTTCAATATAGCATTAGGCCCGCCGCACATTGAAGCGAGGCGAGGTGCAGGCGAGATGCAGGCTGGAGCGAAGACTTTTTCTTGTCACCGCACATTGAAGCGAGGCGGGACAGAGGTTTCCTAGCTTTGGTCGTACTTTCGGAAGTCGAGGAAGATGTTTTTTACTTTTACTGATTCTAATTGTTAGTTGAATAATTAGTTTTACTCTATTCGCTATCCGAAAAACGAATTTTTTAAAATGTGATTACGGTAGATGAAAAAAGATTAAGTCGTGGAGATTATGTTTTAACTACTGAACTGCCAGACCGGTCTTTTTACGAGCATTTTTTCGTGTGAACAAACAACAGTTTGATGATTTCCATAATTTTATTAAAAGTGCCACTAGGGAAAAAGAATGCAATGCTCAACAACTTTAGCCATCTGAATTAAATGCTCCATTACTATATCTTTCACGCACTAAACACTAGAAAACCAACGCAGGCGCGAGCGAGGTGCAGGAAAACTGTATTCCAACCA